GATGGTTGAAGACTAGGACCGAAATGATCCCAAATCGTGTTTTGCTATGCAGCGGTTTGTCTCTAGTGGCAAAGGTAGCCAGTTGGTCTGGGCCAACTCGGGATTTACGCGCATTGCATACTTTCAGTAATTAGTCAGTTGAAACAGTTGGCCCCTATTGGCGTTAATTTTCGTTTTGGGTGTCTACTCCACCAGGGATCATCTGGCTACAGTGATTTTCAATCTCTGCATATTTTCGGATGCCCACCGTCTTAAACTGCAATTTGAACGAGCATAGATCAACGCTTTTGGAAGGTAACAGCTATACTTACGAACGCCACTGATAAATCGTGGAGCGAGTACAATGAGCAAGGACACTTCAATTGGACAACAAACTGAACACTAGTATTATCGCTTGTGGGCCTGCCCTTCCAGTGTTCACAATTTTAAGATGTCTTTGTGACTAGTAAATTAGAGGCTTTTGTGTTAGTTTTGCATCAACTAGGCAATTTCAAGGAGCAAAAACCTCGGTGGCTATCATTACTATCGGCGGATGCACAGGGACCGATCTTTGGGCATGTGGGCCTCAAATCAAATCAATCAAAAAACTGATAATGTTTTGATCGCCGTCCTTAAGTAGTAGAGAAAACCGTTAACAGATGCAGTTATGCTGTTATTTAAAGGTGTGTCCTCGATTGCTCTTGGTAACATTAGAACATGATTTTGACGGTTTTTTGTCGGTAACGACTTCCCAACATTGACGCAATAATCACCTAAAGACAGTCATGATGTAACTGCGGTTGCTCCGACAACGTTCTCGTACTCCAAGAAGTCTTTAGGCAGCCAGAATCCTGGACAAATCAGTCGGTTAATTGATGACGTAGTGAATTAATAGGTCATATTCTATGTATTACAGATATGAACTGCTCTAGATAAGTTGAGTGGTTGGGTTCATTCGTAGTTTGCTGTTGTAGAAAGATTCAGAGGCGGCAAAAGTAAACGCCTCTAGTTTGTTATGGAGAATATCCGCCAGTCGTGGTTTTAGTTGAAGTTCTTGGCCCGGCCGACAGTTCTGATACACCGGATCCAACATTACGCCATACGACTGGGCAAAGAAAAAATCGGACAAGGGATCTTCCTTTGACTTCGCCCTGACCTTAGTGTGAAGGCCAAACTTTATGTAGGAGACATCCGCCAAGGGAATTTGGTCATGAGATGTGATTTCCCGGCTATGTCCATCACCTGCAGGTGTTCGATTAGAGGCGTCTGCCTGCTGTTCTCTGGGTTTATTCCTCAGAGCATGTAACTAACAAGCAATTTGTGGAAAGTAGCATGCCACTAACTGTAGACGAACTTGTTCTAGGTTTTATCTTATCCAAACTTAGCGGTCACGAACTGACGATGTGTGGTTGTCATGGTCTTCGCCTAGTAATTTTCTTTAGTGAATCGTGGCCTGATAGTGTTAGACTTCCGATCAGAAAGGTCGCGGGATCGAGTGTCGGGTGGGGCACCACTTGAATTTGGCTATCATGGCTAAGGAGCCAGAAATGACTATTCAGGTCCTTGTCTATGCTAGCAATGCGATCTGCGTAGACTACTAGTCGGTGTGCGGCTGCTGGCAGGGATTGACCATGAGCCCCAAGGCAGAGTGGAGCGAGTGAGTTCCGTTAATGATAAGTGAACGTTAATCAGCGAACTTCAAGGTGCTTTCTGCCCTCCGGTCTGCATCCTTGGCTCAGGAATCTGCTGCCTAAGCATGCAGTAATTATAAATGCTGGCACGCGTAAGTGAGCAATCTGCCTCGATAGTTAAATCGCATTTTGAGATTGCTCAGACCGCGCTCTCCGCCGATGTTCTGTTCGTCAGAGCTGACCATCTACACTGGCGCATGAGATGTACTGCATATCGGATCGTTAGCAATTCTTCGGATTGAAGACTTTCCAACACGCCATCATAATTGTAGTCCATATTGTTGCGGTGCCGCGATTGTAGAAAGTAACCGCTTAAGGTGTTGGTTCCGTTGTGGGCATACCGTATACTTTAGCTACTGCAGTAGCTGGTGGAGTATCTTTACAACGACCCGAAGGACACCCTGAACTACCGTTACTGAGTGAATCGTGATCAGTTTGTGATCGTCACAAAATTTTGTCGAGCCATGTTCCAAATAGCCGCGATAGGGTACAAAGATGTCCTTCGGAGATATCCCTATGACAGAATTGCTTGACATTGCTATACTTTCACCGCCCACCGAGTGAACTTTCTCCAAACAGTGATTGTGGAGGTAAGCTTTGAAATTGTCTAAGTTATAACGTGGTCTTAATGTCATGTGACAGTGTTCC